CTACTACGTACGACGTACTACGTAACCGAACCGTACCGTACTACCTACTACTACTACGTACTACGTACGACCGACCGACCGTCTCTACCTACGTACCGTACGTCTCTCTCTCTCTCTCTCTCTCTCTCTCTCTCTCTCTCTCTCTCTCTCTCTCTCTCTCTACCTTCTCCTCTACTCCTCCCTTCCCTTTTCATTTTGTATGCTACTCTTTAAGGAGGTTTGCTCTTGGTTAATCCTCCCCCCCCCCCCCTCCCGCTCATGCGGTAAACACTTCTAACTCGCCTTCGAGGTGCCTAGGTTCAATCCATAACGTCTTTCTCAAGTCTCCGACATAGACTCATAGGGGAGGCTACGTCGGAAGGCTCTTTGAGGTTCTCCAGTGGTTCGCTCTCCCTTTTCTTCTTCTTCTCTTCTTACTTCGTCCACCACTCCTTAAATCCCCCCTACCACTCCTTAAATCCCCCCTACCACTCCTTAAATCCCCCCTATGAGGGGTAAACACCTCTGACTCGCCTCTGGGATGCCTTTTCTTCTCTTCTTACTCCGTCTGTTACTCCTTAAGGAGGCTTGATCATGGTTAATCCCCCCTCGAGGGGTAAACACCTCTGGCTCGCCTTCGAGATGCCTTTTCTTACTTCATCTACATCTCCTTAAGGAGGCTTACTCTTGGTTAATCCCCCATTCAACGTGTAAAAACCTTTGACTAGCCTCCAGATTGCCTTTTCTCTCTTTTCTCTTTTCCCCCTCTGTCGTTCCCTTTCTCTTTCTTTTCTTCTTCTCTTCTTATTTTGTTCGCCACTCCTCAAGGAGTCATGCTCTTGATTAATCCCCTTTTGCGGGGTAAACACCTCTGACTCGCCTTCGGGGTGCCTAGGTTCAATCCCTGACACCTTCCTCAAGTCTCTATCATAGCCTCCTAGGGGAGTCTATGCTGGAAGGCTCTTCGAGATTACCGAGTGTTACTCTATTTCTCTTTCATCTCTTTTTCTCTTCTCACTTCGTCCGCTATTCCTGAAGGAGGCATGCTTTTGGCTAATCCTCCCCTTGAGGGGTAAACACCTCTGACTCGCCTCCGGGGTATTTAGGCCTTGTGCCTAGTACCTTTATTTCTTCATCAGTATTACCTACTAGGGGAGGTGATGCTGGGAAGTTAGCAAATTTTAAGAATCGGTTTCTTTCTTCTTCTTGATTTCTTGGCTCAATCCCTCTTTCAAACCCCCCTCAAATTCAAACTTACAATTTTCAAACTCTCATCAAGACGAACCAAGGGTTGTCACTCTAGGCCATCCAAAAGTGTGTGCGTGATAATTACCCAAAAAAAAAGTGTGTGCATGAACGCAAAGTGCAAGTGCAGGGGAGCTGGAATCAAACCGAGGTGAAAGGTAGGGGGGCTTTCCGAAATGATCTAAGAGGGCTCTACACCCGGGTGTGTCCCAACCCCACCAAGTGAGGTAAGCCTTACCTCACATCTCTTTTTTTGTTGGTTCGAACCACACAAACACACACCACACTACTCGACACTTATTCTAGCAGGCATTGGGGTCACCCTCACACGCACATGCGCATGAACCCAAAAAGGGGGAGGTGCGGCACACAAGCGGTCTCATCCTTCGCCTCGCTCCTGAGCACGAGACAAGGGAGGGACCACCACGTGGTTTGAAGAAAGGGTTTCTTGACCCCAATGTCAAAAAAACTAGGGCCAACCACCGGGGCTAGCCAAGTGGAGTGCTTCATTTTATTAATTAGATTCCAAGGATCAGAATTTCCCTTATAAACGTGTTTAATCGATGCCAAATGATTTATTTTGTTGGAAAATCGTTAAAATGATTTTTAGGTATTTATGGGAATATTTCTGAGCAAGAAAATTCGTTTTTCAGAATTGTTTCGAGGTAATAACAATTAAGTACAGTCCCGCAGGATCCACACATAACATTTAAATGGCCAATGGGTGTCCACATGCCAATCCCATGGGGTACCACGTCCCCCCATTTGGAGATGATGTGGGGGTGACGTCAACCCCATGTGGGGACCCCCCTTGTCATTTGTTTTATTGTTATATGAAGTTGCGTACTGTTGTATTTTTTAATTTCCAAAAATATTATATTTTGGGAAATTAATTTTAGCATATGT